CAAAACATTAAATCATTAGAAATAATGCAGATTTGTGAAAAGGGACACCATTTCTTATCTGAAGCTTGTACATAGGGGCCCAAACACTAAGAAAATACATATATTTGAAGTACTAACACATTGTCTAAATAAATACTACAAATAAATGAAGCACATGCAATCTACAGTATAATTTCTAACCTACATACAGAAAACCCGTATGACAGTTAAAGCTAAGCGAGCGTTCGGGACGGTGTGTTTACATACAAAGTCAATGCAAACACGCCTAAAACCGCAATTTCCTGTCAGGCGGCGCAAGAGTTGAAAATTTCCAACTCGAGGGAATTTTCACGGGTTCTAATCGCCCTCTCGCGTTGTTTCTCGTGTGAACACTTGCAGCGAATGTACTCATGCGAGGAAAGCGTTGCGATTAAATTTGCAGCAGAGGTCATAGTTATACTCTGGATGAAGCTGGAAGACGTTTCGAAAGGCAGTCTGCAGCGATTAAATTTGCGTTTGGTCTGAAAGCACCATAAGAGCTAACTACCCTAATCCTACTACTAGTGGTCCCAAGAAATTCATTACATCAGTCTCTAGCTCTGTCATTCTTGATTAAATAAGTGAAATACAATAAATGGAGGTGATGGACAGCTAAGAAATAGGAAGATATTGGAGGCCCCCCTTGGAGCCACAAACAACAGGTCCTTAGCACCCTGAAGGTAAGTATGACTGGAAACAGTTATATTATATCTTAACCTTTATTAATCAAAAAATAGGTATTAAGACAATGTGAAGCACATAGAGACAGTTTGGCTGAGATATCAATGACCACATAAAACACACACTAGCTGACATGCAGTAAATACAAGCAGACACGTTAACCCAGTGCTAGGGGAGCTCACAGTCAGTGGGCAAGGGGCAAGTTTATCCCACACCCAGGATGAGCACTAATAAGCCAGACCATCAGAACAGAAGAAACAAAACAAGGAAAAGAAAACCACCAAGACAGTGACTCACTACCTGCAACCCAAACTAAACACAACTTGTTGTTGCATTCATATTATTTTGTACACATGCATCTATGTTTTGTACACATATGTCTATAAAAGATAATAGAAAACATGTTCAAATCCCACCAACTACACAGCCCTAGCTAGGTCTCCCCCAGTTAGCCTCCGCCTAACGTTACATGGGGCTCTCCTCGTAGCAGCGGTCGCCACGCATCGTGCCAGCTCTTCATGTGGAGGACAAAAAAAATAACACACCCACGGGTCACCAACAGGTGCCAATCGGCTAAATAAAAGGACTTTTAATCTTTCGTTTAATTTAGTTTTGCAAATCTACAATACAGTTTTAGTTATCGTTTTTTTTTTGTAAAGCCTCGTTTATATTTTTATTTCAGTTAACGACAATGTTTTTTCACATCTAGTTTTCATTGCGTTCGTTAACAATAATTATAATTAATAAAAAAACCTTGGTCATGATTAACTTTTTTTGTTTAAGGATCAAAATCAATGCAGCCGGACCCGAGATATCAGGTTTTTTAATCCATGCATTCTGCTTGTTGTCAAAACCGGGCACCTGCATTATCCACATTTCAGTTTGTTTCTGGTGTGCTGCAAATTGCAAAAGCGTCGCGTATCAATTTTAGCTGTAATATTTTATAACTAGTTGCAGCCAGTTCTGCTTAATGGCAGCAGTTGAAGCACAACTGGCCCGTGGTTCTGAAACCAGACTGTGATGCTGCAAGCTGAAGGGGAATTTATCCAGAGCCAGCCAAACTCATAACTCTGCATGCAGTTTGATGGTTTCTTATCTTGGCTCAATCCATGGCTATCTATGGGCATCAGTAACAGTGGCAAACTCTACCTTCTCCAGCCCAAAAATGTTGCGCAACAGCTGCAGCTCAGAAGTGAGAACTCAGGACCGCAAAGCCGCCAGCTTCTTCTGATTGTGTAAAGCTAACAGTGAGTGAACGCCCATTTCCCAGCCGTCCACTGATCAATAGCTCATATATGGTTTGGCACAACTGTAGCGCCAATTTAGATGTGTATCTCCCCGGCCGAATGGGCACCATCTCCATCAGCACACTTTAATCAGACAGTTATTGGGATGTGTGGCTCTGAGTGAAGTGGGGGGAATGCATGCACATGCGCGCGCACACACACACACACACTCAATTTAATTGATTGAGTGAATAACAGAGGAAGAATGGGTTCAGAAGTCTCCAGGCACACATGCAGCAGTGGAGTGCAAGATGATGGCCAGTGAATTGAATTGGCAGGGATCCATATACTGTGTGTGTGTGTGTGTGTGTGTGTGTGTGTGTGTGTGTGTGCGCTCTAACAACAGTGAGTTTCTGACTAAGGCAGCTTTATTCAGAGTCAGGGTCACTACTTTTCCTCTAGCCACCTGTAATCCCTTTTTCATCATCAATCCGTTTCTGCGATTAACCTTAAAAGGAAAATACATTGTTGCGCTCTGGTCTGTCAACCAGATGGTTGCTGGGTTGATGAAAATCTGTGCTGGTAAGTAAGCAGACTAAACCATCTTTCCTCCACCACAGCCATCAAGGTGTCCTTGGTCGAGGTACTTCAAGAAAAGAAAAATACCTAAAAGCGTCCAGAAGTGCTGGAAACCATCCAGCTGGGCCCATATGTTGTTTTGTATTTACATCTTTACTAACTGATATTTCCAGAAAAAAAACTTAACTCATTTAAATCATATGAATTTAAGAGCAAGACTCACTACTTTATTTGCACCTGCAGTTCAACAGTTACAAAGTGAGAAATCCACCATTCAGAGGCAGATGTATCCGTTACTGAAGTAGCAGCAGCCTCAAAGGACCATGATGCAATGCAACGACTGAGCACAGATCAAGACTCGCTGTTGGTCGACTGAAGGAACTCCACTGCGGCCGCCTGCACATCAAACGCATAGCTTCTAAACAGGATTTTTGAACAAACTGTATTACAGAACATAAGTGAAGTCACTTCTCCTCCCTCACACCCTCCAAACTGTCAGTGACAAGACAGGCGGGGAGAGTATTAAACAGAGCAGCGGACAGAGAACTAGACAGACAAACTGTCAGACATACGTAGAAGACAGGTGAACAGACAGGCAGAGCAAAAGATCGACAGTCAGAAATAGAGGAAACAAGAGGGTGGGATTACAGGACCATTAGGCCAAAAAAATAAATAAATAAAAAATAGGTAAAATGAAAATTATTTCAATCCGTTTACGTATATAGTGGGAGGGCATGAACATTTTTTGGCTTTGGTAAGGAGGTCATGAGAGAAAAAGTTTGAGAACCGCTGACGTAAGCCAACATGGGGTTAAACATGTCTGCTCTCTGGATAAGTGTTCAACTAGAGAAAAGTTTGTCATGGTCAAAAATGAAACTTAAGCTCAGACCCAGCCTGGCCCAGTTCCATCTGAGGACACAAAATCAATTTCCACTCACCTTTTCCCTCCTTTCACAGGCTGTCACTTAGCCACAGCAAGTTTCTTTCAGAATCAGAGCTGTCATCTGGTCAACTTATTGATCTTTACAAATCTCTAAAGACCAGGAGCTAGCACAGTCCTACATCGGTGATCATCGTCCAGGATTTGGGGGGGTAAAGCCTCATGAGACAGTTTGGTTACAAGCCCAAGACTTAAGTTAAGCAGCAAGGTTGAGATTCTGTAAAAATTAAAAAAAAACAAAACACAACAGGTATGACTGATGACAGATTAACCAGTTTATCTGCTGTGCAGACCAGGAAAAACTGCACTAGCATGTATACAAACCAGAAAAGTGGCTTCCAAAATGCTTAGAGGAAAAGAAACAGCATAAGTGAAAACATTCATTACAGCATGCTCTGAATGCAGCTTTAGGAGCAGCACTGATATTTGTATATTTTACTTCCAGCAAGTAGATTGTCTTAATGCCGTTTCACATTGGAGCGTACTTCGTCTTCTCACTCATTCTGCCATCTCAAATGTGAACTGCTAAGGTAATGTCAATTGAAATCCTTTTTAGAAGTACCACATATTGCCTGAAAGCTCACTTATAGCCCAGTTTCATCCAAAAGGTGGCCTTCAGCAATAAAAATTATTCTAGTGTTTTGTTGCGACCAAAAAGGAAAACAAACAAATTGAGGCTACCGCACATCTCGGACATGTACAGTACAGACCTTCAGGGGGCTTTAACAAAAAGGGTTACTTATTTAGCTGCTAACCGCGAGATATCAGAGCAAGGCAAGTTCACTTGTATAGCACACTTCAACAAGGCAATTCAGTGTTTTATGAAAGACAAAGAATTCAAAAGGCCGCATCCGATGATGAACTTGAAACGGCAAAACCTTCACTGTGGGAATGACACACCGTCTAATTTAGGACTGACTGATCTTTAGGGGGAAATGAAATCATCTTCAACACTTATTAAACCACAGTTCATGAGTGTGAGCATCTGTAAGAGTCTAATATGCTTCTAAAACACGGGTGACCTACATCTCACATGGTGCCTGACAGAGGACCTATAGGATGCTACTACAAAGTGCTGCTTTCACTCCACTTTTACATTTAAAACTCAGTGCACATTAGGTAGAGAATATAACACTGAAAAGCTACAAAGTGGTCCTTTAGCTGAGAATTTTGTGTCCAGCTGGGTTTTCTGAAGATCAAGAACAAACATGCAAGCTCAACTGGATATTGGATGAGAGAATCAACAGTAGTCCAACACGGCTACTAATGAGTTTCAAGAGCAACTGATTTTCATGCCATGAATATTTCAATTTGGTCTCCGAGACACACCAGGCAGACCATGCAGAGCAGTATCGGAGCCTGGAGGTTCCTGAGGTTGTAACACAGGGAGGAACATGGTGCATTACTGACCTCTAATGGCAGGACAACATAATCACACGTCCTGTACAAATGGTTAAAAAATGCTCTTACTAAATGCAGCTTACAGTTACATCCACATAAGGATACATTGTTTAATTTAATAAAAACAATCCTATAACTCAAATGATGAACCACCATTTTATCAAACAAATAAAAAACATCTTTATTTTAAGAGTACGCATGACAGCTATTTAAAAATAGCACAGTATCATCCGGTCGTCTTTTATACAAATATTTAGGATGGTGATATTAACATGATAAACACTGTACAATGTTTGAAAATACAAACAGGCATCCCAGCCAACTTCAGCGATATATGAAAACCTATAACTTGAGGGCCAGTGCATAATTTATCAGTAAAAGTAAGCATTTGACAACTTCTCCATCTCACCCATTAACTTAAAAACGTACGCACACACACAGACAAGGCTTACAAATTACTAATAAATTCAGATTTCTCTTTTTATCTGATAAAAGTAATAAAATGAATGCCAAAAAAAGTGTACCAACGCTAGAAAACAAACTGGCAAACTTGCCCACATTAAAACTCTTTTCCTTCACAAACTGGCATTAAAGATTTATTTCCAATATTATATAAAAAGACAAGACTAGACTATGTGTATAAATATTTAACATATTAACAAATTATATACAAACTGGCAAGATGACATTTTTGGGGTTTTGAGGTGACATCTCACTGGGACAAAGCTTTCTCCAAAATGTCAATGTTGACCAACGGCAGGGACGCAACCTCAAAAAACACCCTGAAAGATATTAAAGAATCGATTAACAGGACTGTTTCATCTCACCACTTCATTATAAATGAGTCGGATGGGTTTTATGAGTTTTTAGATTCATTGCTTACTTGTGCGAGTATTTGTTTCTGATGGCTCTGAGTTTATCGTCTGCGGGGGCTGAAAGCATCATGTAGAGCTTCCTGACAACGGGCGCCAAATCTGACGTCTCATAGCCGGAGTGGAACTGCAGGATGGGAGACTGCAGTACAAGAGAAAACAAGGAGGACATTTGCACTGTTGCTCATACATAAATGCAGCCAGATTGAATCTTTAAAAAGCTACAAAAACCAAATATAAAATTCACATCTCGGGTTTCATAACTCAGCCTCTGTAGTTTTCACTGTGTTACATAAACATTATCATTTCTAAATTGCAAAAACCCACACAGCTGCTGATTCTGAGTCAGACAAGGAACAAAATGAAATTACCCACCATCCCTTGTACTACTGCTGCAATGAAAACTTAAATTTACATGGAAAAGATATTTACATTTAAATTGAAAGGAGAGGGACTGTTTGAGACAGAGCTGCGGTCTGGCTCTTCATGCAGAACTGAAAATACAGCCTAGTCAAACAGCTGAGAGTGGAAGTCCACCTTTAAGAGGTTATGCTCACTTTCAGGTTCAAAATCTTATTTTGGGGTTGTTACCAGAACAGGTTTACATGCTTTCATTTAAAAAAAACAAAAAAAAAAACACCATTTTTGTGTCATACTGCAGCTCCTCTTTTCACCCTGTGTTGAAGGCTTCGTTTTAGCTATGGAGTGATGCATCTCACCTCTACAACATCTTTGTTGGGAGCTGCACATGCAAAGTTCCTAGCTAAGGACTACTAGCCAATCAGAAGCAGAGAAGGGCGAGTCAGTCAGAAGCAAGTAAACACAGCCAGCTCAGCAACATGGACTGGAGCAAGAGTTTCAGAGTGGTGAGTTATTAATCTGTAACAAAAGTATCTTTCATCCATAAAGTTTTAACTGAGCTCTGTCTCTACATCACAGTAACATCTTTATGTCCACTGACTGCCTGGAGGGTAGCTAGTGTTTGGAAGGGAGAGGAGAGGCAGCAGGCGGACGTTTTGTCACTGTGTGCTGCAGCTCAGTTTTTTTCCACCGTTTTTTTTGAGGGTGTGTCAAACTAGCCGCTTGGCGAGTGTTATGATGCGCATTTCACTGTTGGACAGTTTCGAGCTGTTTTTTACAGGCAGTTCAGAGCTGTGTTTTCTGTGGGAGATGGGAACTCCCTTTGGGGTGGACTTTGGGCTTTTTCACTTTGCAAACCTATTACATGCACAAGAAAAGATATATAATAAAAGAGAGGGGAAAAAGCCAAAAAGCATAATACCACCTCTTTAAGTGGTAGACCTATTCACCTATTTCACTTGTAGAGCAAACAGTCTTTTACAACGATGTTGTCACAGGAACGAAGCTATCAGGTAAAGCCTCAGATTTGTGTTGCCATCACACTGAAATAACTAGGACTGGCCCGAATGTCATTTTTTGAGCTTCGAAGCTTCCATAGTAATTAAGAGCAAATAATAATTGTTTAATGGCCAACAGGTTGCAAAACGAAGCCTGATTGCATTAGACTCAATGACAAAATGACCCTGCTTCTCACTTGATTTACCTCAGTAAACACTTTCCTGATGAGTTTATGGTCTCAACAGCTAGTTTCAAGTCTTCTTTATTACAGCATGATGTTTTTGTAAATTATGGTCCCATTTAAAAGGAAAATAGCCGATATAGCAGGGTATGCTTTAAGGCGTTGCTACCACATTAGATTAATATCACAGTTAACTTGAACTGCACCTTGCTAACCAAGCTAGCTAGCGCCACGCTCCATTTTGATCTCCTCCCAAAGAAAGAAAAGTCCTTACCCACTCCGTTACAGTCAAAATGGTGTTGAAGATAACAACAATTTATTCATCTTGTATTGTGCCTAACTTTAGTGTATCATAACATATCGGGTATAAAACTAATCTCCAGATGCTCCAGTTCAAGATGACACCAAACATTTGTCAATTTTTGAGCCCTGACCAGACTAGGTAAGCTTAGTAGTACCCACATCATAAATCTGGTATGATAACAAACGTGACCCTAACTCTGGCACAAACATCTCAATGCAGAGCTAAAGGCTATGATCAGAACAGAGAGTTAAGTGAGCCTACCCATCCTCCCAGGTCTTTGGTGACCAACGCCATCAGCAGGCAGGCTGAGGCCAGCAGCGAGCCTCTCTCCGTCACTAGCTCCATCTCCATGAGACTCATCTCGCAATAGTACCGGGCTAGAGTCAGCGTGTCCATGCCGGCACTCACACACTGCAGAGACAGCACAGCAAACGAGACTGTCAAGAGCGCGTGCACACACGCACGCACATGCCTGAGTCAAACTCCTACAAACAAAAAGGCTCTTTGTGGATTTTGAAGAGGTGCAGTTAGCAAAGTAATAGAAGGTGTAAGAGCTAAACCAAGTAAACGGCCCACTTTACAATCATCACACACACACCTTGGCATAACGTCTGAGGAACCGATAGGGGATGGGGATGTTGATGTCGAAGGACAGCGTCTGCAGGATGGTGGCCTCTGTGGAGATGAGCTCCTCCCTCTTGTACGCGTCATCGCAAATATAAAGAAAGTCGTCGACACAAGGCGGACTGCGCTCCTGCGGGGTCATCAAAACAAAAAACAAGAAGCAGTGGTTTAGGTGTCAGAAATTGGTGGAAAAGTGTGATCCTCCATCCTATATTGTATTTTGGGATATTTAAAGGTCCTATGGTGAATTTAGTAAGCATGGTCGGGGTCTACTTCCTCTTAACTGATGCTTCATTTTTCTACATGTTTCCTTCAAAATGCTGCTGAATATGTTTGCTATGCTGTCACGCTGAACAGCAGAGCTAAAAAAAAAAAAAAAAAAAAAAAAAGACTAGAGTACTTCTTTTTACAATTCCAAGTTACTCTACCAAAGGAGAAACTACACTTGATTACAGATGATATGTCAAATCTTAAGAGTTTTGTTTTCATAAGGGACCTGGATCTAATGTGCTCTTTAAATATATCCTCACCTCAAATTTGGAGGCTATGAGCATGGCGGTGGAGCCAACGAGCTGCAGCAGCTCCTTGTCCACTGGAGTCTTGGACAGGTAGTGGTCCGTCATTTTCACGGCCAGGTACAGGGTCTCGTGGTACAGCTCAAAGTTCTCCTAAACAAACACATAAACAGAATTCTTTGTTTTGCTGTAATTTGATTTCCGGCATCCAACTGAGCAGCAGCGCCAGCATCCTCTTGATTTTTGCAATTACGTGCTCCAAAATTTACGATTGATTGAACCCCTGGAGAATTAATTAGCAATGATTTTTTTCCTTCTAATTTAACAAATGGATTACCTTGCCCACTTCACACCTTTGAAAGCTCACCTGTACTTCAACCAGCCAGTCAATCAGGATGGCCCTCATCTCGGGGTTGAGGCTGGGCTGCTGGGGCATGTAGTTACAGAGGACAAATTTTTCCTGCAGACAGTAACACAGAAGAGAGACGAGATAAAAACAGAAAGATGACCTTTGGATTGAGATTTTGCCCGTAAGCTTGTCTTTTCAAATCCAAGGAAGACAGTTCAAGCGCCTTTTAGAATCGGGTAACAGCGTTTTGGTTTGGCTCACCTCTCTCTTTTTGAGGTAGTCGAAGATGTCCTTTGCATACTCCGGACACATGTAACAGTCCTCCGAGTTCCCAGAGTCGATGTCAAACTCCTCTGGGATCTGCAAGGACGGAGTGAATATGAGTAAAAGTAGGAGGAAACAACATTTTAGCAAACTCTTCCAGATTGTTTGTACAGGCCTGAAGCTTCTTTGGGGTGTAAAATCTTTCTTACCGCTTGTTTCTGAAGGTGTGCTGGCACTTCTCGGGCAGCAGGGGGCGTAGCAGCCACCCACTCTTCTATGGGAGCTACTACGTTCTTCTGCACCTCCTCTTCCTTTTCCTCCTGTACGTCACATTCTTCTTTCTCAGCAGGCGTCCCTTCTGAGCTCACAGACGAAGACCTGCAGAGGGAGAGAGAGTGCAAATTAAAGACTGAAGGATATAACTACAGAAGAAAGGGACTTAAGTGAAGTGGAGAGTGAACAGTTAAAAGAAAAGCATGGTGTTATTACTTTTTCAGATTGGCATGATTCTTCGTTGAAGCCGAGGTGGAGCTCGTTTTCTTCAACTGCTTCTTCCCAGATTCCTTCTTCCTCCCCGGAAGGCTGATCTGAACCTTATGAGCCTGTCAACAAATTGAGATTAAAATTAATTAATGATTGTGTCTGAACTCACCCCCTCCACTCGTTTTCTATTTCCCAATATAAACACTTAGTAGTGTACATCGAGTAAGATTATGGACATGATCCAGATTCTGAAGTGACGTTCAGTCTTTTAGGAAAACCGTCAAAAGTACAAAATTGACTCACGTCCAAGAGCTGGAATATAACAGTTTTGGTATCAACACATCACCGACTTCAACCTCTGTGCCACCTAAGTGTTTTGACAGCATCGGCATTTGTGAGGACAGACAAACATGGTGCTCGTTTCACACCCAGGTGAGGTAGCACAGTCCACACATTCACACCACAGTGGAGAGCTACTGGCAGCCCATTTACACCGTCACACCAAACCCCAGGGATGCAGTGTGTCACTCTGTCACTCAAACACACGCACACACACACACACCCCCCCATATGTGTCATTTATTAAGTTTCACATAGGGCTGAACAATTAATTAACTGCCTACTGCAGTTTTCAAATCACAGGAGATGTGTCAAAATGCCATTTTAAATTAGCACATCATATTCTAGAGACTTAAAACATCTTCATTTGGTACAGATCTTTGCAAGATTCACACCAGTCAAGTCATTTTAATATGCTTTTCAATGAAAACAGTGATGTAAATGATGTTCCCCCTAATATGGCAATTGCAATATCAGTCAAAATAATAGCAATTGCAAAATCGTTCAGCCCTAGTGATACATTTCCTGGAGAGGAAAAACAAAAAACAAACACACAATCAAGAACCTGATGAATACAGAGTAATGGTCTGACTTTGATTTTGACTTGCTCACAGTCAGACGGGACGGTGGCCAGCAGGGACACACTTTCAGAGACTACCGTTTAATAAATGTCCACTGAAGCCGAATTTGTGTTCATTAAGGCACAGAAGTAATTCCCATGTGTAAGCAGCCCTTTTAAGGTTTATTAGCCTTGGGTTGGAATTAGTACAAACCCTTCAAATGTTTGTTGTGATGATATGAATATGGCGTTAGACTGGTTTTCCAGATGCATTACATTCAGACCACAGTGCTTTTCTCTCAGGGCCACACACGGTGACCGCCACCACAGTGTTGGATATAAACACTATCCCACTTACGTTCCTGAAGCTGACGTCACCGTTGGGTCGGCAACATGACAGACACGGACCACTAGCCTGTCGTCAAGAGGGTGACGAGCAATTAATAACATTCAGAGCTCAACAACACTTAATCGGCATGCAAACAGCAGCTAGTGAAACCTAGCCTTAAGCTTGATTTATACTCCTGCGTAGGGTCTTACATGCGTAGCTACGCCGTAGGCTACACACGTAGCCAGGCATTTGTGCACAATTGTGTTGACTTTTACCGTCCGAGCAGGCTAACTTCCGGTTTGGCCCTCAGCTAACGTGAATGGGGGTAAAATTGTAAACGAGCGGCTGGTGTAGCCTTTTCAAATGTTATCGACCGAATGGATCACATTCTGATAGTGAAACGAGTCATTTCTCTCGGGTTGTGAAGTCAAATATATTGACCCACTGTGTTACAGCCGCTTATAAAAGTTACTTCAAAGTACGGGCACTTCCTGTCGGCTCGCCGGCACTGCAAGGCTTCACAGCCGACCAATCACAGAGCTTACGTTCCGCGTCGACTCGAAGTGTAGTTACATTTTTGAGGAAGTACATGTCAGGCTAAGCCATAGGTGACGGCGCAGGGTAGGGGGCTACGCCGTCGATTTGACGCAGAAGTAGAAATTGCACTTTAGCCCGTCTTTCTCACTCTCAGATCTAAACTCAAACCTGGAAGGTTTATGAGGAGAACATATTTTCAATATGTAGATACTAAATTTTAAAACCTTTTTATGGTGTGGTGTGCAGGTACCCCACTTGCCTGAGTCCAGACCTTTGAATCCATCAGCATTTCAGCTGACGACTAACAGTTATCCAATCAAGGAATGCCTAATATGCTGTTCTGTGTGCTGTGTGCAGGAACCAAGGAGTAGTGATTAATAGGCGAAACGCCTAGATCGCAATAAATCATAGTCAGTCATTTCAGAGTGCGATGGGCTTGTTTTATATTTTTCATTGCTTACTCCTATCCAATCTACCAGCGCCTGACCGTTGCTGCTGCGCATGTGGAATGCACCATAACACATCCATGTTCGAGCCATTTTCTTTACAGTGTCATGAGTACATTGGTTTGTGCATAGCAGTGGTTTCAGTATGAACAAATGGAAAATAACAAATTATTTGAAAAGTTTCAGTCTGGTTTTAGGAAGTACCACAGCACTGAGACTGCCCTGCTTAAAGTCACCAATGACCTTTTAATGTCTGCTGATGAAGGTATGTGCTCAGTCCTTGTACTCCTGGACCTTAGCGCTGCTTTTGACACCATTGATCACAACATCATGTTAGACAGACTGAGGCACTGGGTGGGGATCTCTGGTACTGCTCTAGAATGGTTTTCATCCTACCTGTCAAATAGGAAGTTTTGCGTGTCTGTAAACAACTATGTCTCTTCGTTCTGTCCAGTTAAATATGGTTGCCTCAGGGGTCGGTCTTAGGACCCATTTTGTTTTCCTTGTATCTGCTTCCCCTTGGACATATCCATAAACATGGCATTTCTTTTCATATTTATGCTGATGACACACAAATACTTGCCCGTCAGATCCACAGACCCTGGAATGCTGAGTTCACTTAACAACTGCCTTTGTGAAGTAAAAAATGGATGTCAAATAATTTCCTCCACTGAACTCAGACAAAACAGAAATCCTGGTCATCGGGTCCCAGCAGATGGCAAATCAAATACTGCCATCTGCTGGTTCCCTAGTAAATCACATTAAGCCTGTGGCAAAGAACCTTGGTGTTTGGTTTGATAGTAATTTAAATTTCGAGCAGCACACCACAAAGCTTGTTCAATCATGTTTTTATCAACTTAGAAATATAGCTAAAATTCGATCTATGTTAACTTTTAAGGACACCGAGACCATTTTACACGCCTTCGTCTCATCACGCCTGGATTATTGCAACAGCCTTTTCACCTGTTTAACCCAAAAATCTATTGATCGACTCCAGACTGTCCAGAACTCAGCTGCCAGGCTTTTAACCAGAACAAAGAAATATGACCACATTACTCCTATTTTAGCTTCATTACACTGGCTCCCAGTATGTTTTAGAATTGACTTTAAAATTCTATTGATCACTTTTAAAGCTCTTCATGGCCTCTCGCCTTGTTATATTTCTGACCTTTTAGTCCCATACGCACCAGCACGTACCTTGAGATCCTCGGGCAGAGGTCTGTTGTCTGTTCCAGAGTCTCGACTGAAAACTAAAGGGGACAGAGCGTTTGCTGTCAGGGCCCCGAGGCTCTGGAACAGCCTGCCCGAGGAAATCAGGTCGGCTGAGTCAGTGAACTCTTTTAAGTCCCTTCTTAAAACATACTTTTATAGGAGAGCTTTCCCGATCTTATTTGACTTTATTTTATCCCTTTTATTTTATTGTATTTTACTATTTTTATATTAAATTTTCATGCTCTTATCTTTTTTTGTATTATTCTTTACACTTGTTAAAGCACTTTGTAACTTGTTTTTGAAAAGTGCTCTACAAATAAGATTATTATTATTATTATTATTATTATAACAAATGCAACACCGAAGCAGGTGTTCTAACACCATGACCCAGTCAGAGGAGACTCAAAGTTACTGTGATATTAGGAAACTCAGACATCCACTTTAGAGCCCGCTGCCAAGTACATCCACTGTGTTTTTAGGAAAACAAACCCAGAACACAAATCAATACGCAAACATTAAAGTAGCCTGGCAATTTTATTACTAACACAGTAGCAAATATATATATATGCAATGTAAATGTTTCATTATTTTGTGGTGTTTCGAGAAAATTACAGCAAATGGAAAATGTTGGTAGGTTCATTTTAAGAGACAGCAGGAGACTTTGTGTCAATAATTAAATCCAACAGCTTCATCTAATAAGTTTTAGCTTTGAGCCCGATTCTGAATGCTGACCACTCTTACCTATAACCCACATGACTTACATTAGTGATGTCGATAAAAGCAGTCCTCTTCTTGGGTGCCCCGTGAGGAGGGGAGGAGGACCTCTTCACCTGCGGACCTTCCTCCTGCAGCACAAAAACAGGAAACTGAAAACACACTTACAAATCACGTGCATGCACGGACTGCAAAGAGAAAAGATGCTGTTTTGCACTCATTTTAATCGTTGCCTTCCAAACCAACATGAATGCATGTTTCTTTTACCTGGTTCTCAGTCGTTGTTGCATTTAGCTTGGGTAATGTTATCTTGCTCCCAGCAGAGACTGTGGCTTTCTTTCCCCTCGGTACGGGCATGGCTGTCTCCTTTATCCCCCGAAAACAAACTCTGCAGCGGCTGCACTGTGATCTGCTTTGCAAAGAAAAATACACACAAAAAATGGCGGGTCCTTTTTAAAATACAAAACAGGCTTGCGTGTTCCTGTGGTGTTATATAGAAAAGATAATTAGTTTTACCAAGCAGCAGATGACAAGATCATAAAACCGAGCAGCCATGTAACGTTATGCAGCTTTGCTGGGTGGAGTTTCTACACTAAGACTAAACTGCTCTGGATTCAAAATATCAAGCTAACAGACGCTTAAATTATTGTTTTTTTCCTACCCTGTTTTATTATTCCTCCTCGTTTGGTTCAGTCGCTTGTTTTAGGGACGATGCAGCTTATTTAGCGGTTGTAAATAGTCCAGGTTTGCGCTGTTGCTTCTCAGACAGGAGCTCAAACAAAAGTGTTTCAGCTGCAGATCCAAATCTGCGGCGCCGCGCTGTCATTGGCTGGAATTTGAGCCGGGCGGACCAATCAGGAAGCTGCAAGGAATGCCGTTGCTAAGAAGCGATGGTTTTATAGTAACGGCACCGCCCGGAGATTATTGATTATTTAAAGCAGAAAGTTAAACATAACTGATTATATATGAAAAAAGGGAATTTGTTAATTTTTATGTTGTATGTTATGTTATTGAGTAAGTGTGTTATTTAGTTAAGCTAAATCTATTCAAGTGACTTTATAAATAGCATGCGCGCGGCTCGCTGTTTTGGATTTAAATGCAACGAACCCTGGAGGAGGAGAAGGCAGGATTTTCAAACATCACGGAAGCAGTTTAAACGTTGGACATTTTATTGATGTTTCGCTCAGACAGACTTGGCAAATATACATTATGCAGTGCTCTATCAAGTCCATCATGAATTCGTTCTCTATTATTTTTTATTCATACCCGATATGTACATGTTTACATTTGTTTCTATGTTTCTATTACTATTTATCTATATTACAATTCAATAACGTTATGTAGCCTGTGTGTGTGTGTGTGTGTGTGTGATAAAACCTCATCTTAAACAGATAGGCTACCTACAAGATCTGCACACATACAAATACATGCACTTAGAGTCACTTCTGATTTTCATTATATAGCCTAATTCAAAATAAACCATTAAATATCCAATGTTCATGTTAATCTGCAAAATAACTGAAATCATGGCATCTGAATTTGAAAATGTGGTGTTTTAATATTTATATATATATTTATTAATTTAGCTGGCGCTTTTATCCAAAGTGACTTACAATTGCTAAATATCAGAGGCTGCAGGCTTCTGGAACAAGTACGAGTTAAGTGTCTTGCTCAGGGATACAGTGGTGGAACAGTTATCTCTGAGCGCTTTTCATAAAAGAGCAGGTCTAGACCGTACTCTGTGATGTTATTTACAGAAACCCAACAGTTCCCACCAAGAGCAAGCACTAGGCGACAGAGGCAAGGAAAAACTTCCTTTTAAGAGGCAAAAACCTCGAGCAGAACCATGGCTCAGGTTGGGCGGTCATCTGCCTCGACTGGTTGGGGGAGAGAGAGAGAGAGAGAAAGAGGGAGGGGGATGGAAGGAGAGAGAGAGGGGAGGGAGGCAGCCTACACAATATACACACACAGAGGTACACACAGTAAAGGTGATGTTGCTATACAGATATTTACAGTAGTGTTAATGATAATAATTGTAATGTTAATGATTATAATTACAATAATAACAATAGGACTAGTAAGAATAGTTGTAACAGAGGGTGTCGAGCAGGAACACGGGGGCAGCAGATGACTCGCAACCACAGATCCAGACTCCACCATAGAAATCCATCTATGGACTCCACAGCTCCAGAGCCAGAAACACCTGCAGGAAGTGATAAGAGGAGAAAGGAGAGGGACGAGAAAGCACAAGACTACTGGAAAGGGGAGAAGTTGAGTTAGTAACATGCATTAATGGGTGCATTAATGGGATGAGGTTGCATAGAGAGGCAGAGAAAGAAGAGGAGAGATGAGCTCAGTGCATCATAGGAAATCCCCCGGCAGTCTAGGCCTATAGCAGCATAACTAAGGGATGGTTCAGGACTCACCTGAGCCAGCCCTAACTATAAGCTTTATCAAAGAGGAAAGTCTTAAGCCTACTCTTAAATGTGGAGATGGTGTCTGCCTCCTGAACCCAAACTAGAACCTGGTTCCACAGGAGAGGAGCTTGATAGCTGAACGCTCTGGCTCCTATTCTACTTTTGGAGACTCACAGTGGGAACTGCACCCCAGGTTTCCCACAACAAAGGCATGTGTCTTATCCACTGCACCATCGCCTCTGTTTTAAAGCTTCAGATAGAGGATATTGATCAATAATGACAACTGAGCAAATTCCATCCACCAGTGAAGACCATGAGATGTGGCTGAAAGCTCCTAGTTGGGAATATTTGTCAAAGCAGTCATTAAGTTTTTAAGATTTCTGTTTCAGTTCATGGCCTCATTTGCCGATTTGCTTCTATATGTTTGCCTCCATTGAGAATCTTTAAAATACAGAATCAAAGAAGTAAGAAGGTGTCCCATTTTAATTAGCACTTTTAGCTTGAGAGAAACTGTTTTATAGTAAAAAAATTATAACAATACATTTGTATATAGAGCAATCTAAAACCAGGAAAGACTCTCCTATAAAACTACATTTTAAGTGTGCAGAGCCTCAGGGCCTTGACTGCAAATGCCCTGTCCCCTTTAGTTTTAAGTCGGGCCTCTGGAACAGACAACAGACCACTGCCTGAAGATCTCAGATTCCCACCACTGCCTTTAGGCAGTCACTAACATTAAAATCTATTTAAATTATCATTTCGAGCAATGAGCTCACCGTCACACAGATAAGTATTTCCTGAACTGGAGCACAGAGGGCCTCCTGGGACCCACAACACAGACTTACTGCAGTTACAGTTTGGACAATACAGGGTCATAAAAATCCCATTTGTGCCCCTGGAGGGCAGGTTCAGGGTGGACAGCAGGCGAAGCTGGCAGCTAACATCCATCCAGCTGCCATTAGTTTGGGAGGGTCATTCTTGTCTGAATAACAGGAATTGAGGCCTTAAAGTGTATCTCAGTGTTGCTAAGAGAACAAATAAATCTTAGATGAATCCATTTTAATCCTCTTCTGAATTGATGTCATCTCTGAATACACCCTTTACACACACTACTAAATCACTTTGTAAATATAAAACTCCAATACGAACAAACATCTCTTGGTTTTTGTTTCACCTCCATGCAAAGCAAAAACATGAACAGGTTCAACAAAAAGTCCCTGGGCCCGCTCCATTTAAACATTCACCCCACGTTTACTTTATTTGAATAGGATACTCTGACGCAGCTTCAAGGCCTACAGTTCACGCAGTGCAATCTGGCATTTAATGAAGTCCACAGAGAGATTTGATCTCTTATCTTATTTCATCTCCCCTCCCCGTTGTCCTCATTCAAGACAATAGCCTTCTTGTGAGATCATTTTTTTATCCAGACTGCTTGTGTCTCCATCAGAGCTGGGAGAAATTGTTTCATAATTGTTATGATTTAGTTGACACTGCTAAAAAATCTACAGGGTGGGTGGGACTACCCGTAAGTTTTTATTATTTGAAACAGGATATTCACATTAAGAAAGACAATGTGCGCATTCACACATGAGGTACAACAGCATAACGTCATTGATTAGTTGAATCTCCCAACACTCCGACGATATCGGTCAGGATGAACTGACAACAGCCTCTCTAATCATGAAAGTAATTCGTTAAAGCACAAACATCAGTGGTGCTACTGTCTTGTTAAGAGAAGAGAGCTCCCCCGTAGTTTGCACCCTGACTACAATCTCGACCATTGGATTCTCGCAACAGGAAATAATGTTACTCTTCAACTCATCGATTTGTTTTTCTGGTGCCAAAATGTTTTTCAGTGTTGGTGAATTATTAAAAAAACAAAACACCACTTAATTTCGGGTTAAAATGCGTTGAGATTGTAACTGGTATAATATTACTGATTTTTTTTTTAGTAATGCGTTATATTACTGCGTTACAGCAAAAAACAAGACATTACTGTAATTGCATTACTTTTGTATCTCGTTACTCCCAACACTGTATATTTGTATACTGTTCTGGGTACTTATTTATGTCCCGTGTACACTTGCAATAAAGATTTAAGGAGGGAAAAAACAATTATTATTCTGACATCACATGATGTCTGAACAATGGAGAAGCTATTGTGGTCGACACACTCTGTCAGCTCTTGTGCTAAATAATACATGTGATATCCGCATTCAGCGTAGTGACGAAACGCGCTCTGTAGAGCCGTTTTCCCGTTTGAGCTACTGTTGAAACATGGTAGTGCAACATGGCGACATCCATATTTGTGGACCTGCAGTGTACGTAGATAGAAATGGCTCATTATAAGGTAATAAAAACATAACAGTTCATAAGGTCTTTATACACCGCTGAAAACATTGTTGGATGGATATTATATTGTGTTTCTGTCAATAGATCTTCCCAAATATTACACACTGAACGTACAAATTTGAGGTAATTGTATTGTCCTTCAGTATTTTCTTTTCTTTCTTTTCTTGTCACTTTATACGTAATTTAAGAGGGGAAACTTTACTTCATTCAGTAACTTGAGAGTTTTAGTTATATATTATATTATATTTAGTTACATATTAAAGATATAAAGTCTTATTATAGCTAAATTAGCTAATAATTACCCAGCAGTAAATAGAAGAAGAGCTGAAACGATTAGTCGATTTATCAATTAGTCAAAGTAATTTTTCATGCTAAAAAATTTCCTGGATTCAACTTGTGAAGATTTGCCAGATTTTCTATAAATTACTTCAGTTATATGAATGTGTTTTTTATGATTTTAAGGGGCCTACTATTTGTCACTATTTTATGAATTTTTACAAACGAAACTATCAAGTAACAATAACCTAAGTCATAGGGGACGTTTTACTGTTTTAAGTGCTTTCACTTTTAATACTTAGTAAATTTACTTATAGCGGAGTATTTTTTACAGTGTGGTATGAATACTTCTTCCACCACTGAAATTGGCTGTAGTGCACCAACCTGAAGTAAAATCATAAAAGCACTGTATCCTATTTAAATTAAATTTTGGCTAAGGTTCTGGTCTAAATCTGAGACGCTTGCCTCCTCCTCCTTCCCGGCCATAATCTCCTCCTGTTCTTCCTCTCTTCATCATTTTGACCTCTTGAACAAAGGAAAAGAATATAACAGGCAGAATGATTTCCTATTAACCTAAAGCCTGTTTACATAATGTATATTTGTCATTTGCTGATGTTGTCAATGAAAAAACAATCACACACCCACATACAGTTTCTCTTTCTATCTCGCTCCCTCACACACACTTACACAGGAAGTGAGTGAAGCTTGTGAACTCATTTGTCAAACCATTTCCGTGTAAACTCATTCGCAGCAGAGAGACCTAAGAGAGCCAACCATCCCCCCTTTTACTTAACTGGTAAGCATGTGCTGCCTGATGTTTTCTGTATCTTGTTATTATATTTTGTACATAACTTACATAACTTCTGGCTTCCATTTTTACTGAACTGGCCCTCTAGATTCCTTCTGTTTCTTGCCAGGTATCACAGTAAATCAGAATTTGATCTGCAATACTTCATAAATCTTATTTTGGTCAGGAAACCTTTTTCCTTCTCTTATTTTCTTAAATCTCCGGTCCAGTTTGTCTTGGGCTAACCATATGGAAAACAGCATTTTTTTGGTACAAAAGTGGATTCTAAAACCCTAAATACTCCCCTTGACAAGGCTGCCAATTTAGATTTGTCACATTTCATTAAAAACACTATAGGGGTGGAAGAAACACAGTTTGAATGAAAGGTCAACTGAGGCACTGCATTTCAAAACATTATTTCGCAACGCGCTGAATAGCATTTAGCAATAGCATTTGTGCTGTGAGCACCATGTAGATGTTAGAAGAGACTGTAGGTGAGGTGTGTTAGTATGATCAACAGACTTTGTTTAGGCAGGGTTGTGTGACACAAGAACACCCAGGATTAAAGTAGTGAGGAAGCATCCCCATCTCATAAACATTAGGATGTCGAGCTGCCAAGAGAAATCATTTTTTGTTTTAGCTGTAATTTGTTCCACATCTGAGCTTCATTCTCTATCTTGTCCTCCTCTCTGGGGTCTGTCCATTTTGAATTCGGTCTGTGGTCCACCGAGTGAGTAATGGCTGGATAATACTGTGACACAAGTTCATCTCATGCACACCAAGAGACTACAATCATTTGGTAACGCAACCTCCGGTGTTATCATTCGCTTTGGCTGAATAAAGAGAGCATGGCGTGTGTTACATCTAAATGTTTAACATTTTTGTTAAATTTATATCACATTTCCATCAAATTAGTCATTTTACAGAGGTGATAATAGAAGTACAATACTTGTAGTAGAACCAAAGAATAAGTTGAGGAAGTTCAGTTTCACATTACACGCTGTTTCATCTGCTTCTTTTCTCAGTCAGAAAGATTCCTAAAATACAACCTACTCAGCAACTGTGATATAAGCAAGGTACAGTTTCAAAGAGTGAAAATATATATTTTAAGAAGTTTAGCATATTTGACGAAAATAATGCATTTAGTCTGCTGGCTAGACAAAGTTTCACAACATGGCAACCCTCAGGACTAAAAAAGACGATATACTTTCTAAGGTAAGTTCAGTTCTTTCACTTAAATAGGACCTATAAACATGCATGAATATATGGCGAGATGTCAAAGCGAGCTTCCACATAGTCTGGCATCCAGAACCATTAAAGGTTTGGTGTCTTGGTCAAGGGCACGTGCCTAGAAGCTGAACTGGCACTTCTTCAGCAACCAGTCCACACTCCATACTGACTGGTTCGTGCTTGACTTGAAAAAAACAACAAGGCAAGTCCACACCTACAGCCTATGGTCTCCGTAGACTGAGCTACTGTTGTTAGCAAGCACTAACTGCAATTATATTATCGAACTTCTGCTTTCTAATCTAGTAAATAAAACAATCAGAGCTTTAAAGTAACAACCAATTATCTCGTCTCATCAAATGTAGCCTAAATACACCACAACATGGCATTTTTACACTTCAGTTGTTTGACTTGCATCTACCAAACTGTATACCAAAAATATCCTATTTGGAAAACACAGCTTTCAAGAAAACTACAGCAAAATTGTCAGACAGTCTGGACTTTTTTCATAAGACTGACCACAATAGCAGTTTACAGAAAACGTGTCTGTCAAACGTTTATCAATTGTCCTAAAATGGATACAGGTGCCGCATTTCATGTATGCATCAGAGATCAACAGCATAATACTTTTCATGTAACATTTGCTTTGCTTCATTGCTGTTTTCTCAACTTGAAGTTACAGCTATCAAACAAAGCCCTCTCTCCATTAACTACAGATGTACACAAACCAAGTTTACAGAAATGTCAAGTTGCTGCTGCGGACGCCAGCGCAGTTTTTTTTTAAATGCTAATCTAATACTGAACTGAACTTCCTGCTTGTCACATCCTGGCTGGCTGACAGCTCATATGGTGACAGGCTGTGGTCGAGGCCTCAATCTTATTTTCCATCAGAGGCTTCGGAGGGGACTTTCTGTTCTCTCTAACCCTGTATTTTCTTCCCTCCTTTTTATGAGCATTGATCGCTTTCTCTTTTGCTGTTAATGCAGGCAGTATTACATTCTTTCAAGTTGTAGCTTATCTATTTCTTCTCTAATCTGAAGCAGGGATGTAGAAATATTTGTAGAGACTAAAAGGGAAATGCTGCACCATTTAGGCGAAATATTTATGTCCTGGTCTGCATAAACCGAACATGTTGGTTCTAATAAAAATACAAAAATTTAACTAATTACAGGAATGAGGCAGTGGTTCCAACCATCTTTGGACTCTTTTCTGTTCTTGTGCCTGGCTTTAACCATATTCTCCCACCAAAAAATAGGCTCCAGGAAAAACAACATTTCCTTTACTTTTACTAAAATTATTACTTTTATCCTCCAGGATCCGATGCAGGCACTAAGTGCAGATCTAAGGGTGCCAGAGCCCACTCCAGAAAATGATGGCATTTCTGAAGGCCTCAAGAGAAGCCACCAAAACAATGTGGTTCTTGAGAAGTTTGCCCAAAACATTACAGAGAACATAATCCAGTCGTTTATAAGCCAAATGGAAATGGTGGAACCAGAGGTGGACTGTGTGGTGTCCGGATTTAATCAAAACCAGGAGATGTTGGCTGAAGAGTTAGCCTCAGCAGTGATAGAGGTTGCTCTGAGGGAGGTGTGTAACAGTCAAAACATGGAGGACCATCTGGAGGGTTTCCAGAGTTCAAGACCTTTTATGAATGATTCTGAGAGTGAAATAGACTTTTTGGGCATGGACTCAGAGACGGAGCCAGGCAAAGAAACCCAGACTTCCAAAGACACACAGCCCTGCTACCCACCTCTGTCCCAATCAGGGCTACCTGTCATGGGATCCCTGGACTACCCAGACGCCCCTCCAACCACGCCTCTCCTCCCTGAGCTTGAGAGGAGCAGGAACAGTTTTGCCAGGAAGCTAAAAGGAGGCTTGGCAAAGGTTTTTCTGCCTTCACCGCCTCCGCCAACCCCAAAGGACGAAGACCCCCACTCAGACAGTGCCATTACGGACCCCAGGGTGGAGTTAATGGAGCACCTGATGCACTCACTGCCCACAGATGATTTGGCAAGAGACTCTCTTGAAGTAGGAACTCACCATGGAGACAATATGGAGGCTTTTGCGGAGGCTCTTTCATGCGATATCCTCGACTGGGTCTTGAGTGGCAGAAACAAACAGCAAATACCAGATAGCAATCTTCACCTACTAGCCCACCAACTGGCTGAAACCATCATCACCTCCTCTCTTGATGAAGCTAAAATATCTTTCTAGTGTTTTAATGAGGTACACACACTCGAAAGAACAAAAATATTGAGACCCACCCACACGTTGCCTCCTGCCTGACATTTTCATTAAAGTGTGGTTTACTGCAATAATATTGTTCAAGAATCTGAAGCTAATTTTGTTCTTTTGTTCTAAATTTATTTCTCAATAAAGTTCAGTCAAAGCTCATCCAGATGAAGAGTTCAATTGTGAAATATTTATTGCAACAAAACTGACCAGCGATCCAACAAAAAGATGGCGTGGCACTTTTAATGACACGTAGCTGTATATTTTAGATGCTGGAAGATGAACTTGAGGTTGTGGTTTTAGGCCAAGATGAAAAAAGCAGGAAAACTCTAATGGTTTTCAATGCAATTTTGACTGAGATCCAACTGCAGTAACCAAAAATGTCCTTTAGATGGCAACACGGGAGCAATCTGAGTGTTTTAAGCTGTTTACCTGACAAAAATTGATTTAAAATCAGTTTTTCATTTCAGAAGAAAAAGTTTGCTATAAATATTCATGTCAGATTGTTGAAGCTATAATTGTCTTCATGTGTTGTCAATAACTTGTTTTGTCTGTCTTGATTTATCTTTACTGGTCAGGTCTTTTGCTAAATACAATACCTTAATAAAGACTTTGTTTTTGAATGTTAATTACACTTTTCTTTTTCCCTCATGTATTTAATATCACGGTCAAGAGAAAACCTTTATAAATACAACTATAATATCACAGGATGAAAACAGTAGATGTCTGATGAATTTATATCCCACCACAAATACAGTAAATGATGCACTACACCATATTCAAGGGCATTGAATTTCTTTGGATGTTTCCCCTTGTAATTGGCCTTAACCTCATAGATTCAGTGTGATTCATTCATCCCCTGGACTGAGCTAAATATTGGCATTTGGGGTACATTTGTGTTCTGGCTCAAAGAGAATTCATTTTCATACTCAATCACTTACTGAGGTCAGATCCGGAAGACAAGGGAGCCATGGTGCTTAACCAAATAGTGATGTGATCCTACAGGGGAAAGAAATTGTTTTTCTTTCCTTTCTTTTCTTTAAAAAAATCGTTGACTTTAAGAGAAGCTTAAGTGCCTTGAAAGAGCAGTTTTGAATACAGAGTTTTATTGTTGCTACTCATCTGTTATTGCACATAAAACACACACTTCTTGGATTGAAGAGAACAGGTTTGCAATCAGAGGCTAATGTTTGCATGTGTGCACAGATCTGCAGACAACACAAAGCACTCCCCTGTCTCTCAGATGAGTGGGAGAGAAAACTAAGCCAGTGGGTGAACACTAATAGGAATGTGTGTTATCACTGACATCTTAATGTGGGCGGGGATCAGGAAGGAGTGTCAGCACAAACTAATCACATAAATGAAGACTCCTTTTAGAATTTGGACGCCGATTTAACATTTAGATGTACTTCTCAGCCACATTAGCTTTAGGCAATCGGTTATTTTTGGAGCTAAATGCAGCAACACGTCACGTATATTTGAGCCACATACACAAACAGAGCACAATACACACACGTTGAGCTGGCTGCAGTATGCGATAGTCTCTTGGCTCGGATACATGTCATGGAATGCTTAGTCTCAACTTTTGACTCCCACTGCTGTTAAACATTATGTTTTCTCACCACGGGACACCACTCACACGCATACACACAGTCGCACACGCGCACGCAAATAAGCTGAGGGGCTGGGTGGACAGCTGGGGTGTCACAGAGGACACACGCACACACAAACACATCTGGAGAAATGCTTGTGGTGTTGTCAGGTGGTTGGCTGCCAGAAAAAGAGAGGGGCTGATGGAAAAGCGCGATGACACACAGATGATATATAGGAGGGGGGAGTTTATGCATACTATGATAAGAAATAAATGGCAGAGGTAAACCCATCTAAATTCAATGTATCCACCCTTTATGTAAGTGAAACAGTGCTTATTCACCAGATGTAAAAAGCATATCTAAATTAACATCATACATCACCATAAGAAGTGTTTGGGGAGTCAAAATTAATCTTTAAAGGGGCTTTCACTCATCTATGGTGCATAAATATAAACTTAAGGCACATTTGCTTTGACATTTTCCCGCTTTTACTTCATTAATCTGACATATATAGTTACCAGTGCATTAGTTGAAAAAGAATTTCTGTGGAATAACAGGATAATAATAACATATAATGACATATTTCCTAAAATATTGAATACTAAACGCTCTAAACCATGTACTGTAGATATGTACTACACAGTGTGTTATAAATTCTGATATTTAAAACAGGATTATTTGTTTTTTTCTTGGGTGGTGTTTTGACCACCAGTGGGCAGCAAAAAAACTGTAAAACATTGACATATTTTAATTTACTCATCATTAAACTTGCTAGCAAGCTGTTGGGTATTTACACATCCAGAAGACACATAGCAAAATTATTATCAACTGAAAGTGCTGTTTCTGGCCAGTAGAAATCTACTTTTCATGCTCCTCTATTTTGGTCTCAACCAGCTCCTAATTCTATTCAATTCAATTCAATTTTATTTATACAGCGCCAAATCACAACAACAGTTATCTCACAGCGCTTTTCATAAAAGAGCAGGTCTAGACCGTACTCTATGATGTTATTTACAGAAGCCCAACAGTTCCCACCAAGAGCAAGCACTAGGCGACAGAGGCAAGGAAAAACTTTATAGTAGTGTTAATGATAACAATCATAATGTTAATGATTATAATAACAATAATAATAATAGGACTAGTAACAATAGTTGTAGCAGAGGGTGTCGAGCAGGAACACGGGGGCAGCAGGTGACTCGCAGCCACAGATCCAGACACCACAGCTCCAGAGCCAGATACACCTGCAGGAAGTGATAGGAGGAGAGAGGAGAGGGACGAGAAAGCACAAGACTACCAGAAAGGGGAGAAGTTGAGTTAGTAACATGCAATAATGAGATGAGGTTGCATACAGAGGGAGAGAAAGTAGAGGAGAGAGGAGCTCAGTGCATCATAGGAAATCCCCTGGCAGTCTAGGCAGCATAACTAAGGGATGGTTCAGGACTCACCTGAGCCAGCCCTAACTATAAGCTTTATCAAAGAGGAAAGTCTTAAGCCTACTCTTAAATGTGGAGATGGTGTCTGCCTCCTGAACCCAAACTGGAACCTGGTTCCACAGCAGAGGAGCTTGATAGCTGAACGCTCTGGCTCCTAGTCTACTTTTGGAGACTCTAGGAACCACAAGTAACCCTGCATTCTGGGAGCTCAGTGCTCTGGTGGGGTAGTAAGGTACTATGAGCTCTTTAAGATAAGATGGTGTCTGACCATTAAGAGCTATGTAGGTAAGAAGAATGATTTTCCTGAGGAAAATATCTGTCTCTTTAGCTGCTAGATGCTTTGCTACGATCACCACCTAGTGCTAACTTTGTGTGTCTGCTGTTTGCGGCTGGCCTGCTAGCACTACATAATCGTAAGAAGGCTAATTAGAGCAGATTTAAGTCCTTTTGATTTCAAAATACTTTAGAGAGACAGACACACCATGATAGCAAGACATACACTTTCACAATTATCCCTTAGAGGATTTCTTTTGGCAGTTCGTTTCCTCTCTTCACTTCTGATAGCACTTATGATTGCAGCTGATTTTTTAACCAACGGCTCTGGAGATGTTGCAGCATCTGCATCTCAGTGCTGTGCCAGAATTCACAGCTCAGTCACGTGGATGTGTACTTTTTTATGAAGACACAAAGTCTTATCAGTCCTCGGTTTTCCAAATGAGTTTGATTGACCCATTGGACAGTTCAGAGAGTTTTGGGGCAGATCAAATATTTGAAAATATTGAACCTACAAAATGTTTAAATCCTTAATAGTATTATGAGTACACGCTCAGAAAAAGAAGTACGGGTGTGTACTTAAAAGGGTACAAATGCTTGTCGCTGGGGAGGTACCCTTGTGAGGAGACAACTGTGTACTCTTTAGTGACAGTACACTTTTGTTTTAAATCACATTGGACCCTTTCTGTAAGTCAAAATGTGCACTTCTGACCTCTTAAAGATCAATACTGTACCTTTGAGAGAACATTCTTCAAAAGTGTACCTGCAAGTACAGAACCGTTCTTGTCTCGTAAGTCCATTTCTGAGTGAGTATTATGATGATTTGATCTCGGAGTAGTGAAGAAACTGGCCAATAACTACAGTAGTGCTGGTTCCAGTGCTTTGACTGTCTGGGAAAGTGGTGTCCGTCATTCAACTTGCATTGAAGTGCCCTTTGGTAAACCAACAAATGTTCTATTGCTGCCTCCAGTTTTAAATGTGAAGGGAGCCAGTTCCAGAAAAGAGGCATGTGAGCTGGATTGCATTTTCCTATATACTAAAATAGCCAGAGAAACTGACCCAGATCTGATACCTATCCATCTTCAGCGTCAGTTTAGGTAGTTACAAGAACAGCATTCCAAGGCTGCTGAGTGCACTTATCAGTCTATAATACGAGGACACCATTGGCTACTGGCTTTAAGTTCATAAATCTGAGTGAAGGGGATCAGCACACCCACACAGTAGAGCATGCAGGCCTTGTTTTTATCAATCGGGATTTGGACATGTGCAACAAAATCTTTGTTATTATTGTTATTGTTATACACTCACCTAAAGGATTATTAGGAACACCATACTAATACTGTGTTTGACCCCCTTTTCACCCACAGGACTGCCGCATACTGGATGTTTTTCCCTTTTCACACCATTCTTTGTAAACCCTAGAAATGGTTGTGCGTGAAAATCCCAGTAACTGAGCAGATTGTGAAATACTCAGACCGGCCCGTCTGGCACCAACAACCATGCCACGCTCAAAATTGCTTAAATCACCTTTCTTTCCCATTCTGACATTCAGGTTGGAGTTCAGGAGATTGTCTTGACCAGGACCACACCCCTAAATGCATTGAAACAACTGCCATGTGATTGGTTGATTATATAATTGTATTATTGAGAAATTGAACAGGTGTTCCTAATAATCCTTTAGGTGAGTGTAATTGCAAAGACTATTGAAAAGACCTCAGTTTATCTCTCTCATCTTTTAAAATTGCATATGAGTCACAGAGCTAAGAATCAAATTTTCCAAAACATGAACACCCAACAATCTTTGAAAACACTCCCAGCTGTGCTGAAGATTGGTTGCTAAACATCTGGATGAAGAAATATTCTGTCTACATGGCTCTAAGGATAGGTCACTCTGTCAGTCCACACTGCACAACTCAACACATATTTGATGGATAAAATCTGTAGTGATGGCAGTGCGACACTGAAGCTTCGATATGTTCTTCAAACCTGAACTACAATCCCATTGAACCACTGCTTTTAAGCTTGCTTTGGTGCAAAAAAACATGTGACATGTGACATGTGACGTCCAAAGCAGCAACTAATCACTGAATTGTTCGCGGTCCTGTCATGTGATTCACTGGCACTGCCTCGATCAACTTGAAATCTTGTTGAGTGTTTGTGTTCCCCATCTAACCCATTCACCCCCTGCCACATTTACACAGGCACATCCAACCTATGGCACATTTCCCCAAAACTCTCTCATCAATAACACAATACACCGATTCATCAATCTTTATTTGTAAATAGAAAATGATGTTCTGTCTTAATGTGTACACATCAAAGAATTTTCAGAGTAAATATACTTTAAATCCAAGGGTGACTGAAGCAAAGATGCTTTAGAACTAAAGGTCTTTTCTACAAAAGTAAAGTAGTTTCTCCAACACTGACCATTGAGGTACATGCGTGTATGTAATTAAAAGCCTTTTGTCCACCTGCTAGACTGCACAGTTTAATTGCAGCTTTGCATTTTGCCAGGAGAGGCCACTGTAACTGAACCTACGAGTAATGAACCCATTTTCACAAAAGATAATTTGCCCATCACTAAAAATTGGTGTCCAATGGTGGCTTTACTCTAGAGAGAGACATGAGACAGAAGTAAAATTCAAAGCACAATCGTGGCATTTATTGTACTCAAAATAATCACATTAATCAGTATTGTCGATGCCTTTACTCCCCCCACCCTCAGCTTCATGGTTTGCTCCTGCTGCTTTTAAGCAGGTGCTTGGGCCTACGAACTAACTGGCTCCCAACAGATCTTGACATGCAGCCCAGTAGGCTCTGTCTATTGAACAGTAATATTTTCACCAGAAGAGGTTTGAGATGTATCTATGCACTTTTTTCTGCAGTCTAAACTTGTCACATGAATTCATTGTCCACCAAGTGCTGTGAATTTGAAAAGACCACATAATTTGTTTCACAATCAAAAGATAGTTTTCAGGGGAGTATCACATTAAATCAACAAAACATCTCCTCAGGCTTTGGCATCCCACCACAGACAACATCCTCTGAACTTCAGTCACTGGCAACTTTCTCCTCAGCCTGGAAAAACACCTCAAGGAGTTTGACGATCACTGGGGAAATGTAAAACAAAATAGGATCATTTGCTTCTTTGCAAATCTCCCTGGGACACTTGAGAGGCAACCTTGCAGGTGCTAAGAATCGTCCTCGTGCAAAATTTGTCAGAGACTTGGCTGTTTCGGGGTCAAACTTATGACCTTGCAATGTTGAAACATCCACACAAAAGGACCTTCCACAGTTGTAGAAGAATCTGCCTTCAAGGAGTCAACTTAAAATCCAAAACAATGTCACTTCTATCAACATCTGCTTTTGTAGACGTGGAAAGTATTTGACTCCTCCTTCACATCTCTCTTTAATACTGTGGAGTTACCCATCTGTTTTTTGATATTTCCTTCAGTGCAAATAGTTTTCCATCTTATCTGCAGACCACAGCATCCCCTCCATGGCCACCAAGATTTGCACTGAAATTCTGGGCATGTTGAGTCCCAGTCAGAGGAACAGATGGCTTTCACATGTGGTGCAAGCCCCAAGTGGATTTCACCTTCACCGGAGTTTGCTTGAGGAGAACTGGACTTGACCTTTTTTCTGGACCACGCCTGGATTCGACTGCAACTTGGATGAACGAAAAAGCATTTGAGATTTGAAGGGCAAGGAGCCTCCAGTTCGGACAAAGCTTTCAGATCATGAAGCTGAGGAGTTTTACACCACTAAACAGTACAAAAGGAAAGAGAAAAGAGTCTCACTCTCGACTTGGTTTCAACCCCCTTAAATGTGGTCCTTTCTAATCAAAGTCTGAACAGGAGTGAAGTCACGTGGCCCTCTGGTGGTCCATAGCTGCTGGACTGGCAGTGACCTGAACTCGTCTGCCTCCCATCTTTGATAAACAGCTCTGACTGCTGGGCACACATGCAGACCACTTTCCAGCTGTTTGTGGCAATGAGAGGAAACAAAGGGAAGACTGTTGTTCGGAGCAGTGGTTCCCAAAGTGCTGTGGCCAGAGGACGGGCCGCAAGATTCATCTTGACATTGCTTATTTACTGCATGTTTTCAATTATTATTAAATAATTATTTTAACCACATTTAAAAATCTGCAACATTCATATTATGTTACTTATTCAAACATATCACAGCTAACAGTTATGTAACACAACTCATTTATGGCTCAGCGGTCAAAGCAAGAGATGGAAAGATTAGATTTAATTTTGAAATTGTTAGGAAATTTTCACTTTGACTCAAATATTGCTTGCTTAAATGGAAAATGAGCTACACTGTTTATATGGCATTTTAATTTTTAAATTGAATATTGTATAAAATTAAATCGCAAAAACAGCTTTTCCATTTATATTGTAATATGGTCATAGAACGACCACACGAGTCTGTGAAAATGCAAATAGGATTTTTGCATTTTGAGTAAAATTATTTACTCAAACAACACATACATATGTAGAGGATTAGTTAGTTTTTACATTATCACTGTAATATAGTCCTTTATAGACTTCCTTAGTTTGTCTTTAAATATAAGCTCATTTTAATTTTTGAAGAAAATGAAACAAACACAGAATATTAGTGTATTTAATTATTATTCATTGTTTATCTTAAGAACAGACGCCCCCGGTACCAGGGGCAGCCGTGCTGTGGGCAATTTTTTTTTCTTTCCGTTTTAAGTCCAAAACCCGCTGATGTTGTTGCTTTGAGTCTCAGCAGGCGCCATCTTGGTTATTGTGCATACCTGCAAGGTATGCCTGCCTGCTCTCGACATTTCTGCAGAGAGGAAACATGACGCTTGAGAACACACGGTGTTTTTCACCATTTTGTGGCCGACCTGTTGGAGATTCATAGACATGCAAATGAAAGGTCTGCTCAAGCCAGATCCATTGATACCCCCCAACATCACTGTGGGATGTTCCGTTCTCAATCTACAGGCCTGTAAAGGATGGGTGTGCTTTTGGTGACAGGAATGTTGATCAATACTCACTTTTTTTATCAATATTTCGATGTTGTTATTTGGAACTTGGCTGTATGGATAGAAAAAGTGTATTAAAGATATCTACCAATAAAACAAGATTTTGACAGTAAATATTGCCAAAATATGGACATTCGCCTGGTATATTTTGAAAATGTTGTATGATAACTGTTGTATTTTAGTTTATTTTCATCAGATTTACAGTTACAATTGTATTCTAGGTGCATTATAAGATATTCACTGGTTTTGATGGTTTATTTCATTAAAATATAGCTTTTTTTTTCAGGCGAGGATGAAAATATCAGATTTTTTTTCTTTATTGCATCTCCATGTAGTCTGTAATAGTAAAATAAATATATTAATATACAATGGATTTATATATTCTTAGCTTCAGACTTTTCAAAGGAGACAAGGCCAAATGGTTGAGGAGTAATTCCTGATTCATTTTGGGTATGTTATTTTAGGTGGTTTTTCTGGGAAAAGGTGCCTGTGCCCAAAAGGTTAATAGCTTACAAAATGCAGACATAACTGTCTTTACACTCTTTACGTTCCCTGAGCTGCTACCTCCAGTTTGCCTGTGTGTTTGTGGTCTATATTACAGCTTTGCACTGTTTGAGTGCAAATATTTGCCCGACGCCCTCAAGTTTCACGGTGAAACAAGTTTTAGCCACGATTAAATATTTGAACTCCAGTTTCCAAAAACATCACAAAGCTGCAGGCAGGCCACTGACATAAATAGGTCTTTTTATTGTTTATTTATTTCTTTCCGCAACCAAAAAATAAATAAAACATGTATGTCCTCTAAATCCTGTCTTAAATCACCTTAAAACTGAGCAGTGAGTATCGACTTTGATGTCTTGGCTTCTCTTTTTGGACACAGTGAGGAAGCTCATATTTTCCCACACTGTGTTTACAGTTCAGCTCTGAAACAGTGGTTCACCATGACAATGTAACATGCATATACAGTTTGTACACAGGTTTTTATAGATTTTAACAATTCAAGATTTAATATTATTCTATTATACTATATCCGTATTAAGTTAAATAATATAGACCCATTCTTAATATTTCAGAATTAAAGTGCTCTGCAGAATTATTGATACATATGTAATTTAAACTTAACTAAAGAGATAAGTGCCAAACAAAGAGAGAGCGCCCTCTGCCAGCCCATCTTGAAAGGCTCAGGACAAGAATCACACTCTGTCTCTAAAGAACTAAACTATCATGACATATATTGTTTCTGTTAAAGGTTACATCTTTATAATTTCTTAACCGTATGAGTACATCACATCTTTGCAGGACATTTAAAGTGGACAAAGTGCAGCTAGACAGGTTGAGGTTGACATTGGCAATTGTTTCATCAAGGAGGTCTGAACTTCTACTTTCTACTCTGCAGTGACATTCTTTTTCAGAAATAATTAAATAGGCTATAGCCTATGATATATATTGCAAATTCCAACTTCTAGCAAAATAATATACATCGTGGGACATCAGCTGCAAAATATATCGATTTTAGCCACTTTCTAAGGGTATCCAACGAAGGTTAAAATCAAGGGCAACTGGACTTGGTTGAAGATACTGGAAGACGTTTCGTCCCTCATCCGAAGGACTTCTTCAGTTCTTCAGAACTAAGGGTATTTTTGCAAAAAATGAACAATACTGGGGGGAAATGATGTACCTTGAAAACCTCTATCTACTAGTGCTTATCTTGCTATGCTCTGCTTTGGCAATCGATGTTTGACTTTAGTGCCCACTGCCCAGAAAGCACCATTTAAACTGAAAGTGAGTGAGTAAGTGAGAGAAAGGTGTGTGTGTGTGTGTGTGTGTGTGTGTGTGTGTGAGACAGAGAGAGAGAGAGAGAGAGAGAGAGAGAGAGAGAGCATTCCTCCCTCCACAGCTTCAGGGTGATAAAAAGGTTAAGCCAGCCCCTCTTTGCTGCTCGCTCATCGGTCTGTGCTGCCTCCTCAAGTAACTCCAATCCCACTTTTACGCAGCAGTTGAACGCTGAGCAGACATGGACAGATCTAAACGTTAACTTTCAGGTCGTCTTTCTCCTCTCCTGTCTGCCTGCTCTGCAGCTCCCCCCTCTCTTCTCCTCGGCTTGGCTTCTCCCGCAGAGCTCCGAATGAAAGGCTCCATTGGCAGCGGGCGCATGGAGATCTAATTTTGCTCCAATTTTCGGGTCAAGCTTGTGGAGGTTGTTGTTGGCTGTTGTTGTTTTGCTGTTCCCTTGGTTTTAAGGTCTGCTCATGCGTTGGGAATGCCATGGCCACTCCGAGCGCACAGCAGCAGCACCAGGATTTTTTCAGATCGGTGAGCAGCGACTCCACCACCTACATGATGGTCCCGGCCGGCGGGCCGAGCGGGACGAGGCGCCGGGAAGCGCCGTCTAAGATGTGGGTGGCGATGGTGGTGATAGTGGTGGTGGTTCTGCAGATTGCATCCACCACGGGGCTCTTTCTCTACCTGAACATGTCTATATCGCAGGTAAGAGCTTGTTTCCACTCACGTAAAGAGTTAAAATGCTGCATTTTTAGCCACATGTGTCCGTTTCTTTGAGGTATGAGAGAAAAAAGTGCAGAAAAAGTCACTCTTACGCACTGAACTGGAATAGGCTATATAAGTGTTTTACGTTTCACTTTACAGTTGAATTCCACATATTTAGCTTACTCTTACTATTGTAGTGATACTAGAAAGACACGGAGAAACTGACAAATGTGTTCACAGTCTTGGGCAGCAGTGTATCTGCTGGAATATCATACGTGTATCCTAGTATACAAAGTCAGTAATTACAAACACGCTACTTAACATCACGGTTGCTGACAGACAGAAACAGCCTAATAGTGTTACCGCGTTTTTAGGAGATGAAGTGAAACTTTTGTTTGGGGAGTAGGCCTAGGTCTAATTCATTTCTGGAAGACGTTTGGAGAAGTTCGCCCCCACTCGCTGACTTGTGAGGTGCTTGGAAAACAGCTTTTCCTGCCTGGACCTGCAATCCGATATTTACAAGAAACCGAGGCAGAGGGAATAGGCAGCATGTCTGTCCAGCAGCGTTTATCGAACTAAACGAGTGTAATTGCGTGCCTGAAGGCACATATTGTAGCCATTTTGAAAGAAAGTAGTGGGAGGCTGCAGCGTGGCATTGCTTTTAAGTAGGTTACAGATGTGCGCAGAGGTAAAGTATGCGGATCAGTCAGTGGCGGAGGTGGGCTGTCCCCAGGGGTTTCATTTAAGACACTTTTATCTCCTAAAATAATCATAAGCAGGTAATAGGCTACTATTGGAAGTATTTGCTATGGGCATATACACAGTTTTCAGCTGTGAAGACGACTATGTATTTTACACATCTAATATTCTTACAATCTTTGGCGTCTTTTGGTGCAATATTTGCACAGCTGAGACCCCTCCCTGTAGAAATCAATAAGCAGTCACTGCTGCAGTCAGTGAAAGTGAAAACTGATAAGGCTGATCTTTGTGGCATTGGTTATTAGTCCTACTGCAACCTTGTTGACCTGTGTGGCTACTATCAGCAAGCTTCAGTGAAGGGAGGCAGGACATGTGGGAGAAATGAGCTTATCAGTCAGACTGAAACTCATATTGTTGTGAGTGCAACATCAGAGGTTAACTATCACATCTTTGTTGCTTCTCTTTCATCAAGGAAAAGCAAACTACCTGCCTGATTTAAAGGCACACGAACTGTTCTGTAGGTTGTTAAATGTGGTCTACAGAAAGAGGTGCTACATGTGGTTTCTGACACACTTCATGTATTTCTATTGACCGTTTGAAAAAATCTGCAGGGATGAAGTAGGGAACTGAAGTATGGTGCCGGTGATGTATGAATCCCAGCCGGAGGTCAATTTAAACTGTAACGCTACTCTGTCGCTGGCTTCATGGATGTCCTCTGCGTCTCCACACGAGAGGGAACGTGGAAGAAGGTGGAAGGTCCCTGTACAAACTGGGGCAATGAGTTGGACAGGTGTGCATTGCTGAAGACCTCAGTCAATCATGTGTGTCCTGCACCAGCACTGTGGATAATTTAATACTGAAACACAAAACCTCAGCCTCGCTCTGCCACACTTTCTTGGGTTGTGTGGTTGATGGGGGGAAAAAAAGCAAATTTCCCCCATGAGAATAAAGAAATGATATATGTTGTTTTCTTAATGCATTTGCAAAACAGGTCATAAACAATTGACTTTTCAAGCTTTGTAGATGCTGCTTTTATCCAGTATGGCTTACATTAAGTGAGCCATTAGGAGCTTGTGTGTGATGGACAAACATCTGCACATATAAGCCGTTCTATCTTTTTTAGGAAATCTTGTGCAGATGTAGTGGTGATCATGGAGTTGATCAAATACTGTATTACTACAAGACACTGCCTTTAATAAGTAAATATAGCTGAGATACATGCTCTTTTTCTACACAAATGAAATTATGTGTGTCTGTCGGTTAAAACTGTATTTTGCACTGCTTTTTAAATAGTGGGGTAATGTCTGTCTTGGAGAGCCATCATCAGAATAATATGTGTCCACGAAGAGGGTGAAACTAATTAAATTATACATTAATGGATAACGTTAGAGAGCCCAATTTGAGTGACAACTTTCACAGCAAGGTGAGATATGTTGTGAGTCATCATTCATGGTGGTTTTAGACGATTGTGATAACAAGATAACGTGGGTTAGGGACAATATTTGTGTCAGAAGTCCTTGTACCTTCTCATTTCAATAAAACATTGGATTTTTCTTCTTCCAGTCTTGTAGAAATGTCTTTGTTAAGATTATAAATCAATATATAAAGATTATTATTGTTATTATTATTTATTAGATGATTTGTTTTATTTATGAACTGATCACGGGGTTGATCCCAGCCTTTATTTTTCCACGTACTCGTAGCTGGTGGCAGGAAATCACATAAGGAATAGTTTAGAGATGACACTGGACAGAGACGAAATAGAAAACACGGAGCTATGCATCTTGCATGTGGGGAATCCCCCGGTTCTCATGCGAAGGCCAGCTATTTTTAATCTGGAAACAGGCCCTTCTTTGAATTGCAGTAGAGTTCCAACCCATGCCAGCCTGGTTAAGACAAAAGATACTTGGAAACAATGAAGACCACACAATGAGGAATGCTCCGGTGTTGCCTCAGTGCTGCGGCATTCAAACACAAACAAATACACACATGTAAATACAGAAGCTCCTGGCCTCCTGGGTGCATGTCCTCTGTTGCTTTTGTGTCCATTGTTGCTGGTTGAGGCACTTTGTGTAAACCGGTTATTCACTTTATACATAAAAATACTTTGGGTGTGTGTGTTTTGAGTGAATGTCAGACAGTGTTCCTCGAAGGCAGAATTAAATCCAATGGCTGAGTCACTTCTTAACGGGCTCCCAAATACTGAACTTAAGAATAATGTCCAGTTAAAAACAGTAATAGGTAAAGAGCAGGAAACATAAGTAGATTAATCAATCTGTCGAATAACAGAAAAATAATCAGCAACTTTTCTGTTAAAAGATAAACTGCTTGAGTCATTTTTTATGCAAAACATTCTCTGGTTCAAGTTTCCCAATTGTGAGAATTTGCTGCTTTTCTCCGTTTTATGTGATAATATGCAGAATATCTTTGGGTTTTGGGCCGGGTCGGACAAAACAGGCAGTTTGAAGACGTCACCTTGAGCTTGAAGAAGTTGTGATGGATGGGGTTTTTCACTTTCTTTTTGACATGTTGTAGACCAAACAGTTATTGTATTAATCAAAACAAAATACTCGGCAGATTAATTGAAAATGAAAAGAATAATTTGTTGCAGCCTTACTTAGAACTTACCTTATGTTCGTCTGTTATCTAACTTATTAATTCATTAATTTACATTTTCATCAGGTGGTAAAGTGACCAAGCAGTCAAGACTTTCTGATCTTAGTCGATGAGTGTTCAGGAACTTTGCAGACATTGTAAATGACACTTACAAATCTAGAAAGTTTCTTTTCAATTGAACCAATTTGTCGCTTTGCTTGTTTGTTCTTGAAATAATTCTTCATTTATACCAGGACGCTTCTCTTCAGTGGGTTCAAATGAAATATATAATGTAGGAGCATGGCGTTTAATATGATAAACTGCTTATCAAAGGTACTTTTGACATGCTTAACACTACATCAAATGTGTTCTTCATACGTTTAATAACTAATCAAGCATGTTGGAAATCATTTCATGTATTTTTTCAAAGATGTCTTCCGGACATTTAAGATCTTTTTTATCTTAAAAGACATTTTGGGAGGAAACTATTTTAGCCATGTTTCATTTGCAGTTCCAGTGAGGTTGTTTTGTTGCATCTTGTGTCTGCGTTATTAAGACTTTATTTATTTCCACATGTTTTATGACTTCCTGGATCAGGGTCACACATGAGCCTTCACATCTGTAACAGCTACAGTATTTTTTTTTTTTTATATATAAAACAATAATCGGTGTGAGCCTTTGATGTTAACTTTCAATTTTTCCACCCACAGTGGTTGTATAAGTGCACATTTTAGGTTCCTGTTCCCATCATCCCGTTTGTGTTGAATTGTGTGAAATTTGGGGGATTTACGTTATCTGTGTGTGTGTGTGTGTGTGTCTGTGTGTGTGTGTGTCTGTGTGTGTGTGTGTGTCTGTGTGTGTGTGTGATTGGCATTCCATTCCTTACACTTCACTGGTCCACTTTATTATTGTTTAGTTTCACTGATAGGCTCTGACTCACCCTACATGCAACAATACACCCGGTGTGTGTGTGTGTGTGATTATCTGTGTGATGACCTTCAGGCACAGAAAAATAAAGAAAATTCTCCAAAAGAAACCTACAGGACTAATTTCAGGTAGATAGGTTTATTTTAGGTTGGATTAGGTGTTGGGGTTAAGATACAGTCAGTTAAAGGTTAACATTACAGGACTTTGGGGTAGATAGTGTAATCAGGGTGATGTACCATCCACATTAGAGGTCTTTGACCATATAATTAAATTTACAACTCTTTTGATCAGCTTATTTTGTTTGAAATATCCAGCAGACGCTTATTCTAGTTCCACAGTCCCACTAAATGCCTCTCCAGACATAACTGGTACTGTGTTAAAAAAAACAATTCCCAGTGGTCCAAGACACTACTCACTCCGTCCCTTGTTTGATTTTCGGCCAATCGCCATTTTTGCCCCATACTCTCTCCACATATTTCCCCCCTTTCAACATGTATACAGATTTGCTTCTTTAACTATGATTTAACTAGGAAATCCAAACAGTTGAAATAAGCAAAACAAATCTGTATACATGTTGATTGTGTTCGTAAACAAATACAGATTCTTTGTGGGATTTTCCTTTATTAGATGGGGACCGAGGAAGAGCCAGACAGGAAACCTTGGGGGGGCCTAACCACTACGCCAGAAGTTGCTTGAATTTCAGAGCTGTTTTGGTTCAAGCCTACGTGTTTCCTCATGCTCACACTGACAGTGATTCTGCTGGATATCAGACTTTTTGC